GACCTTCTGAGTAAAATGTTGAATCACTCTGAATGATAAAGAAAAAAAATGGAAAAACAATTTGGGAGGGGCAAGAATGAACTATAAAACCAGTCAGTCATCTCTGCATGTATACTGGAGTAAGCCAGAGAGAAACCTTAGCTGTCAAGCAAACAAGACCTCAGTCTCAAAGGTATGGTAACTTTTCCTGTGACTATTTTTATGGGAAGTGGGGCTTCGTTTTCACTATGGTTTCTTACTAGTATTACTAATATTTTGAAAATAGAAATGTAGGGGAACATTTAGTGAGAAATCAAATGAGAGTTAAAAGGCTTTTGAAAGGAAAGGAAAATGTTTTAGTTTAATATTTGAACAGTTTTTAGGGTCAGTTCTTCACTTTTTTGTGTCACAGACCCCTTTGGCAGTCTGGAGAAACCTATTCTTAGAATAATATTTTCATATATATGAAATATAGCACATAGGATTTCAAAGAGAATAAACTATATTAAAATTAAATTATCAATTTTAAAAAAAGTCCTAAATCCATAAACTCCACATTAGGACTTTTCCCACTAAATCATTAAGAGCCAGAATGCATTCCTATGAATTTTTAAATCAAATTTATATTTAAGATGTTCAGTTAATTCCATGGGACAAATTAGGAGTTTATCTTGAAATAGCATCTGCTTATGGTTCTCTATCTAATAACTATAAATAATATGGAATGAGAGGAAAAGTGCTAAATCTCAAGTCACAGGACTTGGGTTCGAGTCTTTACTCAGGCATTTACTGCCTGTGTGGCTTTGCACACGTTATTTAACCTCCCTGGGCCTCGATTTCTCTTTCTGTAAAATGAGAGAGTTGGATTTGACAATATTTAAAATCCCATCTAGATGTGACTCCATGTTCTTATGAATGCTACCCAAATAAAACTGTATCTTTTCTTGAGAAGATATATCCTAGGATAAAGCAACAAAACTGAGAATAAGGAAATTTTTGTTTTCATTTGACTTCACTTTTAAACAAATTTGAATAGCTGAAGGTGCTTTGAATAGAGAGAATGAACTTCCATCAGTAACTTTCATCAGTGAAGCTTCATTAGTTTTTAACTTTCATCATTAACTGGTGACTGCAATGTGGAGGAGTTAGGGAATTTTCTTTAGAAATGGTGGTGTCAATGAGATTCCCAAATATGTTGATTCATTCAAGGAACTGGATTCATCATATAAGGGGAGAAATATTCTTACTAGTCATTTGACAGCACTGACCAGTTATTTGACTGATTGAACGGACCATTTGCTTCCAAACTATGGCTCCATATTGATCCATCAATTATTCTCCATCATGCAAAGTACCAAACAGACATAACTGAGTCTCTTTCTTCCTTTTGGGTGTGGATGAAATGTGGTGATTATTTGGGAGAAGATTTATTTGGAAAAAAAAAAAAGCCTGTTCATCTTGTTCTCCAGTACTTTATTTTGACTTCATTCTCCACGTGTTGCTATCATACAGCAACAAAAAATACAGAAGCCTTCCCACGACCAATATGGATCTAGGTTAAAGGGAGTGGAGCACTGAGCAGAGTTTGTAGCTTTTAGGGTTTGATCAGATCCTGATATCTGATAGCTTTGCCAAGGCTTAAGGGATCTTTTATCATGTGTGAGAACTGGCAGGAGCGGCAACAAATTGAAGCTATATGAAACCTATTTCTTCTCATTATTTCCAAGGATAATATTTATTCTATAATGATGTCTTTTCCAAGGACAACATTAATTACCAGCCAAGTGTTTATCATCTAAGGATGAAAGTATTATCATTTATTACACCATTGAGAAATTAACAACAGGTGTTTTCTGCTTCAATACCATTTGTGGTCCCTCGGTAACTAACTTCACTGGTACTAGCACTTAAGTCGAAAACTCCCACAAAAAGCAAACAAAGCGTCCACATTCTGGGCTTACAATGGCAGTAGTGACTTGGACATGTGGTCCTGACCGAGGAAGGGTATACTTTGTGTGGGATTACAAGGGACCTCTGTGCTCAAGCTCCTAAAAGTTTGTAGTTATTAGGTTTCCACACTTTATTTATGCAAAATAAATCTTTGTATTAAGACTTTAGATCATAGGAAGTGGTAGGGTTTATAGCCAGAAAAGACATTAGAGAACATTCAGTCCAATCTTTTTTATAGATGAGCAAACTGAGGCCTAGAGTACGTAATATGAATTACCTGTATTTCTTGGCTTAATATAACAAAAAACTCTTGACAAGGAGAGCTGTCCCAAAGTGAAATTGGGCAGCTGCAGGAAGGAGGAAAAGAGGAAATAAGCATTTACAAAATGCCTACTGTGTGCCAGGCACTGTCCTAAGCCCTTTACTATTACCTCATTTGATGCTCACAATAACCCCAAGAGGTAGACGCTGTTATTGCCTCCATTTGAAGGTTGAAGAAACTGAGGCAGACAGAAGTTAATTAAGTGTCTTGCCTAAGGTCACACAACTGGTAAATTTCTGAGGTCAAATATGAGCTCACCTCTTCCTGACTCTAGGCTCAGTATTTCCCATTCTTCAAGTGGGGCCTGTGTGGTCACTTGTCCAGGTTATTAATACCTAGTATTTATATGGCATTTAAGGTTTACAAAACATTTTACAAAAATTGTCTCATTTTATTCTCACAAACAATCCTGGCAAGTAGGTGCTTCATTCCCAGCTTACAAATGGGAAAACTGAGGTGCAGTTTAAATAATTTCCTGGGAGTCACAAAGCTAGCAAGTATCTGAGACAGGATTTAAACTCAGGTCTACCTTCCTTCAGGATTAGCACTTTTTCTTCAGTACCACCTAGCTGCTTTGTAGTCTAATGTGGAACAGATTCTGTAAAGGTAAGAGCTGGGCCAAGTGACCTCTGAGGTCCCTTCCAACTCAGATTCTATGATTCTGAGAGTGCCCTCTATTGTCCCTATCTCTACAAAAGGGAGCATAGACCTTGCTCCAAAAATAACCCTGTGAACAAGATTTGTAAGAAATTCTTCTTAAACAGAGATTTTATAATTTTTTTTTAATTTGTGGGAAATAGAGACACACAAAGAAGAATTTAAAGAATCACAGGACTTAGGGTTGAAATGAACCTGAGTCATCTTCTAGTACAAGATCTCATCCAATGGGTAACTGGTCCTCTTCAAGAACAAAGGACCACCACCACCACCACCAACAGCAACATCTAGCTTCTGTTGAACTCCTCAGTCAAGGGACTCACTCCCACATGAGGGAACAACTCTCCTTGTGAGGATTTCATTCCTTATTGAGAATCAGAAATAACTTCCCATGTTGGAAATTAAAAGGAGATTAGAGACATTACTTGCTGATTACAGAAAAGAGTAATAGAAACATAACGTTAGTGAAGCCATAGGGATAGGAACTAGATGCATGATTTCCTTGGTATAAGGTACTCCTGGATAAGGAAATTCCCTTTACCAATCCAGGTCAGCACTTTTTTTTTTTTTTTTTTGGTGAAGCGATTGGGGTTAAATGACTTGTCCAGAGTCACACAGCTAGTAAGTGTTATGTGTCTGATGCCTGATTTGAACTCAGGTCCTCCTGACTCCAGGGCCAGTGCTCTATTCACTGCACCACCTAGCTGCCCCATAGCACTTCCTTAGAGCTGCCTAGAACACTGAGAAATGCACACCACCAGGGTATATTATTGTGGTTATTGTTTGTCCTTCATTCTCGAAGAGGACCATGATATTGGGAAGGTGGTGTCATGATTTGCAAGTGGATTGGATTTATGTGAGAGAGGGCTGTGCAAAGTCACCAGCCTTACATGAATCCAGGTCTGCCTGGCTTCCTGGCCAGCTTTCCAGCTCTGTTTGCCTCAGTTTTCTCATCAGTAAAATGAGCTGGAGAAGGAAATGGCAAACCGCTCCAGTGTCTTTGCCAAGAAAACCCCTAATGGGGTCACAGAGAGTAGGACACGACTGAATCAGTATGATCTGCATGTTGCCTCCTAGCAGAGAGCTTAAATGATGACAATTCACTTTTATTTATTGCTTGAAAGTTTACATCACATTTTCTCCCTAGTAAGCCAATTTTATAGACCTGGAAGCTTAAGCTTAAGAGGTTGAGGTCACAGTCACACACCTAGCAACTGTCAGGCTGGGATATTTGCAAGATCTTCTGCATTCCTGGGACATTTTCCCCCATACCTCACCCAAGTTTTGTGAAACTTGTCACTGGAGAAATATTTCTTTTGGAAGATCAGTGTCCATTTCACTTGGTGTATTTGTATTCTTTAGTAATTGTAGGGTGGCTTTTTGCAAAAGCCATCATGTAAGCACATTAGCCATATAGTTGGTATAGATATGTTCACCAGCCAATATAGAGACACACTCCTTGGGCATGTGGAAGCATTCAGCCACACCTTGCACCATAGACACACCTAAGGTGTGTCTGTGTCAGCTGGTGAATGAATTGTCTGTCACATTTGTAAGCTTGCTAAGTGTGAGTAGGTATGTGTCTAGCCACCGGATGCCCTCTGCAGGGCTGGCCTTGGGGTCCATGCTGTGGAACGAGGCTACAGCTGAAATAATGTGAGAAAGGAAACTTTTTAGCACTTCCAGGGCTTAGCTCAGCAGCTGTCACATGTGCTGTTGAGTCTGTTTCACCATGTCTGACTCTCTGTGACCCCATTTGGGGTTTTCTTGGCTGAGACACTGAAATGGTTTACCATTTCCTTCTCCAGTTCATTTTACAGGTGAAGAAACTGAGGCAAAAAGGGTTAAGTGGCTTGCTCAGGGTCACACAACTGGGAAGTGTCTAAAGCTGGATTTGAACTCAGGAAGAGGAGTGCTTTATCCACTGGAGAGCATTCAGTTTGATATGGAAGCAACCTCAGAGAAGGCGTCTGAGACAATGCTGAAGCGGGTGAAGGGTCAGTCTGAGGGCAGCTCCGGGAGCAGGTTTGACTCAGTGAGAAAAGGAGAGATAGCAGGCAAATGGGTGGATGGGAATCAAGAGGAAATCAAATGCAAGCAGTCAGTACCTTTAATCAAGACTAAGTAAGCTAACATATTAACAACAAGAATGAGAACTCACATATAGCACTTTAAGGTCTGAAAAGTATTTTGTATCTGTTATCTCAGTTATCTCAGATATTTACAACAACCCAAAGATGTAGATTTTGCAGATGAGAAAAATGAGAATGAAAGAGGTTTAAGTGACTTGCCCAGGGTCACACAGCTAGTGTCTGAAGGAGGATTTGAACTCAGTTCTTCCTGACTCCAAGTCCAGTGTTGTGTTGCGTTCCACTTGCCTGGAAAACTGGGATAAGACATAATTTCAAAAAAAAGAGGAAAGAGAATGAAAACATTGAGTTTGAATTTGAAGGTAAAAGACAGGAGGTGTGACATGAGAGATTAGAGTTATCTATAAAGCCATGAAGAGCTGGGTTCATATCCCACCCATACTGGCTGTATGACCCTAGGCAAGTCACTGAACCCATCTTGGCAACTCTAAGACTATCAGCTTCAGAGAAAGAGTTAACTTGTATGATTTGTATTGCTGAAGGGAATTTCCTCCCAAAGGAGTTCCCCAAAATCAATGAAATCATAAATCCAGTCTTCAATTTCTTTGAAAGTGAAGGGTACATTGAGAGGAGGGAGTATTATGTATTTGAAACAATCTCCATGAGGTTTCATAATGATGGAGAAATTGCATATGTAAGCATTTATTAAGAAATCATTTACTAAGAAATGTTCTGTAGTTATAATGGAGTATGACTATTATCATATGTCTGATCAGAGCATGTTCCATGTAAACATTAGATGCCTGTTAACTACATAATCCTGTGAAATGAAGGCCACGCCTCCCCCAGGGACCTCTCTTCATGGAGGGTGATGACTAAGGGCCAACTGGAGTAGTATTGAATCATTATCTGCACTCTATGTAGACAGGAGATCATTGAGGGAACACCAAGCCATGGGGGTTGATGGGGAGGATACAGGTTCCAGGGAGGCCATTATGTCCAATGTTCTTGTGTTAACTTCTACATCTGGTAATGGATGTATGTTTTCCCAGGTTCCCTTGATTTACTGACTGCTTCAGTTCTACTTCAGGTGTGCATATACTATTGTTTTTTATTGGCCATGCTGCTCATATGATCAAGAAATGTTGGTGTTTCTCCAGGGCTACTAGGGGAAAATACCATCTCCTCCGCTGAGCATTTAAAGCCCTTCACTATCTGAATCCAGCGTCTCTTTCCAGATTCATTACACATGGCTTCCCCTCAAGCATTGTCACACACTATCATAATCTGGTCAGCTGGACCTATTTGCTGACCCCCATGATTGAAATGCCCTCCCTCCTCACCTTCCTGTCTTGGAACCCTGAGCTCCCTTGAGGGTTCAGCTCAAATGCTACCTCCTATGAGGCCTTTCTTGATTCTCCATTTCCTAGGGCACTCTGCCCCCCCCCACAATTTTTTTTCTTACAATTTATTTTGTATATATTTTGTACTTTCTTTGATACATACATGTCAGCTCTATGCATGAAAATCCTGACCCTGAATGATGGTAAATCTATAAAGAGTGATTTTTGGTAATATTCCTTTAATACTTGAACACTTCAATGAATGTGAGACCTGTTGAAAGGCCCCATGGTACCTTGCCAAGAGTGCACAATTCAGTCAGAGGATCTGATTCCAAATTCCAATGCCACTAGTGACTACCTGGGTGAACGTCTAAGTTTCTCTTTGGCATATATTGTTTCCATTTTGTCATTGTGTCTCTGGCACTTAGCATAGGACCAGGCCTATAGAAGACACTTGATAAATATTTGTAGAATACAAAAAAAAAAAAGGGTGAGCCCATTGCTCACCCTTGCAAGCAATGGTGCCTCTTCTGATCCCAAAGTAGCATAGGTGACGCACGTCCAACCTTGACAATCTTACCCACTGAGGTGGGATGGGAAAAGTACTGACTTTGGAATCAAAGGACCATCCTTTATAGGCTATCATTCAGGGTCAGAGTTTTCACATATACAGTTGACATGTGTGCATCTAAGTAAATATAGGATTTATACAAAGTAAATAGGAAGCAATTTGGAGGAGATAGATTAGTAACTGGGAAGAATCAGGAAAGGCCTCTTATAGAAGGTAGCACTTGAAAAGATCCCTGAAGGGAGAGCAGGGTTCTAAGAAAGGAATGTAAGAAGGGAAGATATTTCAATCAGGGGATCAGCAAATAGGCCAGTTTGACTGGATTTCAGAGCTCATGAGGGGAGTCGTGTGTGATGAAGCTGGAAAGAGAAGTTGGAGTCAGAGAGGATCCAAATCCTGGCTCTGCTAGTATTTACTACCATTGTGACCTCATTTCATTTCTCTGGAACGCAGTTTTCTAACCTACTAAATTGGGGGGGCTAAACTAAATGAACCCCAAAGCCCCTTATAGTGCTAATCCTATGACCCCACGAGCGGTCAAGAAGGCATCATGACTCTGTCTGGTACATGTAGTACGTTGATATCACCAACACCAACAATGAAAAAAATCACCTTTTGAGTTTTCTTTCTCTCTCATTTCCTTCCCAGGTTGCAACAATGGAGAATGTGCAGTCAGCAAACACAGAATTTGCCCTCAACTTTTTCAAGCACCTGAATCAAACAAACAATAGTCAGAATGTCTTCTTTTGCCCTTGGAGCATCTCGTCCACCCTAGCCATGATCTATATGGGTGCTGAGGGTAATACAGCTGACCAGATGGCAGAGGTAGGTTTGGCTTCTGGTGTTTTCTCAGGGCTGTAGGATTTACATACAGTGACAAAGCCACTATCACCTTGTAAGAAGGTTAAGCTCAATGAAATAAAGCCAGTGATCATAAAATACTGATAAAGTAGAACCCTATTGTTGCTTACCCTATGATTACAAACATTCAGCTACATCCAGGGATGTGCTGGGGCCAGCTTTAACCTGCTTATGAGAGCCAGTTGTTAAATTTTCAGTGTGAGTGTTTATACCTCAGATTTTGTCAAACACTGTAAATTGGGGCCTGATTTCTTGTGTCGTTGATTCTTTGTACTTTAGAAGGAGAGGAAGAAAATGTTAATAATGCAGATTAAACTTAAGAAGTATGTCATCTGGAACTTTTTTTTCTCAAAGAGCTAGTTGTCAAACATTTACCAATACATCCCCAGCTATAGCCATGTGCCCTGAAACATGTCAACTAATACAAGAAAAGCCTGACGTTGAATAGTTAGCCCATGAATAACTTTTTAAAAAATTTCTTTAATAATTAAGTGTTTTAACTAATGTGAGATGCATTGAGAAACAGAATGCTACAATGTCAAGAATGCTCTATTTGGAGTCAGAGGACCAAATTTCAAATTCCAGAACTGCTGTTTACTCTCAGTGTGACCTTGGACAAGTTTGTCCACTTCTCTGGTCTGCAGTTGCCTCCTCTGTAAAATGAAGGGGCGTAGAGGGTTTCTTCCAGTTCTAAGCCTATGATCCTCTGATCTCCTCAGTTCAGGCACTCCATTCAAAGCTGCATGCAATGATGAGGAAAGCCATTTCATCCATGTCTTTTCATCCTGTTGCTTGGGTCCATGAATATAATAATATTTTTCATTTTATAGCACTTTATTTTGGGTAAATTTCTTTTATTATTTGTTAATGTTATATTGTCATGAAAAGTGCCCAAGATATTGAGTCAGGAGACAAGGTACCAATTCTGCAGCTAATGATGTGACCATAGGCAAATCACAACCTCCCTGGACCTAAACGTCCTCATTGGTGAAAGGAGTTGGTATACAGATGACTTCTCAAAGATTCCTCTTTGATTCCATTATTTGACCCTTCTCACCACCTTAAGAAGCAGGGAAGGAATGTAGCTTTACATCCTCTTTACTGAGAAGGAAGCTAGGGTGAACTCTAAGCAAAATTCTGACAATTTTGTTTCAGGCTCATTGTTTCTTTGTCTTGGTGAGTGGATACAGACTTAGGTAGCAAACTTGGCCTATGCACAGAGAACAGGGGCATGATCAGCTTAACTACCACATGTTGTAGGGCATGGTTTGGATGACTTGGACAAGTTTAGAATCAACACTACTATTTTCTGCATTAGTGACCCAAGCACAAACATTACCTCATTAATAGTTTATCGGCCATTTTTAGTCATATCTAACTTCGTTATCCCATATGGATTACCTAATTAACACATTAATAATTGCAGATGCACCATGAAACTTACCTATTTCACTCTTTCAACTGAAGGAATAGATTTTCCATCTACACCAGATACATTTCCAATTCAGCCCTGTTTCTTTCCTAGAATATAACATACTGCTCCTGAAAAATAATTTCCCCCTGGTATACAGTGACCCATTTAGAATGGACCCTACCCATCTCATTGTGTTGAAACTTAATCCTTTTTTTGCGTTTGCTATAGGTTAAATATAGGGAATTGCAAAAAAGATCACTTGCGCAATATCCCTACACTACTAACATTGTGTAATGTCTCTTCCCTTTTGCCCTTTTTTGCCCATAAAAAAAATAAAGAAATTCAACAGAAAATAATGTAGGTTTAAGTAATATCAGGGTCTTCATTTTCAATGTTAAAATCAGTCAGAGTAAAATATGTACAATTTTAAAATCTCGAAAAAATATTATTGTTACCTTTTTTTAACCATTCATTTTTTTCCTTAACCTCTACGGCACACAAGTGAGTCAGTTGTGTAAACTGTTTTGTTTGCTTAAGTGTTTTTTAGTGCATTGTATAACCTTCTCCACATTCATAGCCACTATCTTTCTATTTGAGAAAAAAAAGTGAATTTCCTTCTTAAGTCTCATATTGTTTGTTATAATTTATCAATGTTTGCATGCTTTTTAGTGTTATCATTTACATTATTGTATTCATGCATCTTTTTCTTGGTTCTGCTGTCTTTACTCAATCAGAACAAGTTTTAAGAAGGGCAGAGAAAGTACTGAATGAAACAATCTAATGATTAAAAGGAAAATAAGGTTCTGTAACTAAGTTAGCCTTAAGCATTGGCTCAACTTGGACATGCCACAACCTCTGTCTTACAGTTAGTCAGTGATTACAAAAAGGGTTCGAGATCTTTGGGACAAACTCTGGGAGAGAGGCATTTTTTAATTTCCAGAAAAGAGTTATTTTTACATTTGAACATCATTGGTCTCATTTATTCCTTACAAAAGAGAGAAAGGGAGTTTTTTTTTAAAAAGCCCACTGAGTATATAACTTTATGGAAGCAGCAGAGGAGGAGAAGGGGCAAGAAAAGTTTGCTCTATTCTTAGGTTTGGGGCCTCGCAGACTTAGAGAAGATTTTGTCCTGTGATGGGCTAGGGGCCAACTCAGCTACTGTTGACTTATTATTCTTCTGAGCATCCAGGGACTTTTCTTAATATACTTTCCATGTGGCCCAAGAGAATTCTGATTCCAGTCAGGAGCAGTTGCTCTTCTGGGGGAGTGTTTCTTTTGTTGAACCAGGAAAAGGAACCCAAGAGGAGAGGGGAATAGGACCAGTCCCAATGCAAAAAGCGGTGGGCCAAAGTCTATAAAGTGTGATTTGAGCACAAGGGTGTGCAAGATAAATGTTTAACAATTATCTCTCCAGGAAAAACAAAATGTACCCACAGCACACTTTTAAGTTTAATTTGCCTTATTAATATTTTTTCATGGCTTCTTTAAATTTCAACAATCAACAGAATAAACCAAGCCCTGATTTGTAGCATTTGCTAATTTCTATGGCGTAAATGCTCGCACTGAAAATTTAACAATTGTCTCTCCCCAGTTAAAGTTGGCTCCAGCACATTCTTGTTGGAGGTCCATCAAATGTCTCCCCTTGACATGAAAAAGCTCCATGCCCCTGTCTTCCAGAGCCTGGAAATTCTCATTATCGAAGTTACACAAGTGTGTTAGATAACTAAAGTAGCCCTGCTCTCCCCACCAAAAAAGGCTGTGGTTAAACTATCAGTCATTTATTCATTGTGCCAATGAATGAATTTTTCAAATTAGTTACTTGACCTCTGGGTCCCTATCAGGAAGAACAGCAAGACGTATAGGTTTCCCTGGACAGTTGTGAATGCTGAGGGTTCAAGTGCTTCAGTGGGACCTGGGTGAGATGTGAGAGGAGGGGGCTGGCCAGAATGAGCAAACCTCTAGGGATTGGACAGCTGGTTTCAGCTTATAGGAGGCAGCCCTAAACATAAGCTTTGTCTACTTTTCTTAGGACCTCCCAGGAGTACAAAAGGAAAATGAGTGTTAGATGTCTGTGATTATTTTCCTAATACAATATTAGGTTTAAAAAGAGAGGAGTAAACATTAAGTTACAGAGGAGGATACCATTAAGCAGATTGTCTAAAAAGACAGTCCTGTTGGTGCCTAATACACAATGTGCTTCTTTTTCTCTGGCTCCATCTCTCTTCTAATTCTGATCCCAGGTACTTCAGTTTAATAATGCTGGAGGAGATGAAGTTGACGTGCCTCATGCCATACGCAAGGATATAGACTGTGGGATGATGCAGCAGATCCAGAGGAAACACTACCCTCTGGCCATTCAAAAGGTACTTTGAGTTCTAGCCATGCCACATCTTGTTTGTCTCTCCAACCCTAATTCTCCCTTTTCCTGCCCGTGATTCTCTTTCTTCCTTCTTCTTCCTTACCGTTCCCCTTCCCTATCCATATCCCATCCACCCACTGGCACAAAAGGATCACAGAAAATGCTAGAACGAAGAAACCTTACACATCATGTTGTCTGATGTCCTCATTTTATAGCTGGGCAAACAAAGGCCCCAAGAAGTAAAGTAGGATACAAGGAAGCGGTGTGGTAGCATAAAACAGAGAATTAGATTTGGGGTTAGAGGACCTGGATTTACTTTCCATTTCTGCCACTTATTCCCTAGCTGTGTAATTTGGGACTGTAAAAAGGGAAATAACAAAATTATGCTACTTGCTTCTACGATGTTGTCTTGTCGATCAAACGTGACAACGTAAGCAACAAACCATGAAGGTGAGAGGAACTGTGGCTTAGTGTATAGAGAACTGTCTGAGAGCCAGAAAGATGTGGGTTCAAGTCCTGCCTCTGACACATACTGGTTACATGACCCTGGGCAAGTCACTTAACCTTTTAAGAGTTCTAGGGGCAGTTAGGTGGCACAGTGGATAGAGCACTGGCCCTGACGTCAGGAGGATCTGAGTTCAAATTCTGCCTCAGACCAAACACTTGATACTTACTAGCTGTGTGACCCTGGACAAGTCACTTAACCCCAACTGCCCCCCCCAAAAAAAAAGAGTTCTAGGCAATTTAAGGGCAGCTAGGTGGTGCCACAGCCCTGGAGTCAAGAGAACCTGAATTCAGATCTGGCCTTAGACTCTTACTAGCTGTGTGACCCTAGGTAAGTCACTCAACCCCAATTGCCTCCAAAAAAAAAAGTTGAAAAAAAAAGTTCTAGGCAACTTTTAGAATGATAAAGTTAGGAGAAGATAACTAACTTACATCAGTGTGAGTCTCCTCATTGAGGAGTTCACTGTAAATACTGATGAAAACCCCAGTGATAATCCCTGTGTTCAAGCAGAATATAAATGTCCTTTGGCCTTACCTGACTTGCTCAGGATACACGGCAAC